ATACAGTAGGTGATCATTACTTAATGCCAGTGTGCTTTAAATGATGAACTGTGTGGAAGGTGCTAATGTTTTCATGTCAAAATCAAACATTTGTTCTCAGAAATTACAAATTGCCTTCACTGATCAACCATTACTTATCTTTGAATATAATATTGAAATAAATCAAATCAAAAACGATTTTATTATTAATTACATTTTATAATTATTATTTTATTCTTTCAATTGTCAGTTTTTGTGAATATGCATGTACAGGTGCATCTCAATAAATTAGAATGTCGTGGAAAAGTTCATTTATTTCAGTCAACTCAACTCAAATTGTGAAACTCGTGTATTAAATAAATTCAAACAATTAAAAGAACCAAAGACTTAAACTACTTCAGTCTGTGTGCATTGAATTTATTTAATACACGAGTTTCACAATTTGAGTTGAATTACTGAAATAAATGAACTTTTCCACGACATTCTAATTTATTGAGATGCACCTGTAGATGTAAATGTGGTCAGACAAACAAATAAATAAATAAAATACACTGTAATTTAGGTCCAAAACAGGACATCCAATATATGTGACCTTGAATGCAGGATCAAAGCAAAACACTTTTCTTTCTCTTTTCCCCCCATTAAAATTATTCATGTTTTCGGTGACACAACATTGACATACATTTGCATATTTCTAAGAAGCATTCAGATTTGGCAAATCAAATTTCAGTTTCATGTACTTGGTATTTCAATCAGAGGGTGTGATTGTCAGCTTCACCTGCGGCTGATCTCATTACACATGCAGGGACATAATCCACCAAGGTGACATGCGGAAGAATTTCAATTACATCTGGAGCAAGCAGATCATCACCTTCATCCACCTGGAGGGGCATGTTGCATTATGAATAACCATAAACATACATTAACAATGCATATTCATTCATATGGGAAACAAGAGATCTGAATAATAGCAATAAAGTGATTTCACGCTTCGGTTTAGAGAACATTCAGCAATAATTTATTTCAGAATCTCAAGAACCACCACATGTCTCATCTGGAAAATTCAGTATCCGTTGCCAACAACACGGTTTTTGAAAAATGTTACTATACAAATTCTTAATAGAAAAAAGAATAAATTAACTGTGGAATTTGGTTATATTTAACCCGCCCAACAATTCCACTTTATTTTTTCTACAACACCATTTCATTGTGTCCGGTTATGTCTGGAAACATGCTCTATTGTCAAGATGAAGTGAGAAGACAGTTTAGTAACTAACGTACTTCATTTTGCACGACTGGTATTAAAACTATTGACAACAGTTAGGAAAAGTCTACAGCTAGGAAACCAAAGCAGTAACTGGTCTTCCTGTAGCACCTGAACGTGTTGTTGCTATTTCCCAGCTTAAAGACTCGAAAATAAAACGAATACTGATTTATAAAAATCATTAAACGAATGCTTTTACGATTTCTTTTAAAAGAACCCAGTTTCCACAGTCCTGCCTATAAATGTTGATAAATGTGTTAGTTGTTTTTTTTTTTATATAAAAAATTATGTTTTTGTTATAGAGTACAGGTAGACGAGAGGAGTGAGCTCACATTGGCCTAAAAGGGTACGAGGTCTGAATGACCTCTAAATGAAGGGCTGTTTTTACACCGGGTTTTAGTTTTAACATCAAGATGCATAACACAGTGTGCTGAGCATGCACAAAAATAATCAACAATCAATTTCAGGGCAGATAAAAACGTCTGGTTTACTTATAGGCCCTTCATGGAACATGAATCAGATGACTTTTAGATTTAATGTCTGGTGATTTGGACCCTTTTGAACACACATTTGTAATGACTGCTTAGGTTAACACACAAACTGTTGACTTTTTTGAAGATCTGTCGAGTTGTAACGGCAAAGGGTGTGCTTTCAGCTACCTGTTTCACGTACAATGTTTCGTATCTCGCAGTGTGAAACAAATGCGGTCTTTAGCGTTATGGCTTGATGTTTCCTCGGTCAGACGATCGAGGCGAGGGGCACACGTGGTTTCGGATCTTGTTGACTGCATGATAAAAGCATGAAACACCCTGTATTATCTGAGCTTGTAGTTTCTTACCGGCTGCTTTTAAAATGAAACACCAGCTTTAATCGCGTCACATTCTGGAATGCTGTTCTCCTGAAAGCCTTTAACAGCTCAGGGAAGAGGTAACGTTATTTTCATTGAAATATTGTGTCGGTGTGCCACGTTGCGTTGTGCTCATCTGACTTTTGATGGTTTTTTAAATAAGAATGTAATGTCATAGTGGTGTTACAGTTAAGTAAAATCCTGAATATTAAGAACAGATACGTAAAAACAGGAAACCCATAAGGCCAGGAGTGTTTGGAGAAGGTTTTTTTGTGTGTCTCGTTACTTCACTGATGTCACAATACTATACGCGGGGGTTTGTGACCGTTCATGCAGTGTGGGCATACAGCAGGGCATTGTGGGATGTGCAGTTTAGGCTTAGAGCACCATAGTGGCTAGTTGCCGGTTGCAGCCTGAGTTGCAGTACTTCACAGATCGGTCGTTCAAAGCCGAGGGTCATGCTAAAGCCTCTAAGCTAAACGTTTTCAGATTTGTTGTACAGCTATGGCTTCTAAGTTAGCTAATGTTCTGCAAAAATGGACCAGAATCGATGAACTTGAAAATAACAAATCAACATTACGCACAAAGACCACAATGTTTTGAATTTCCTCGGAATGACGTACTTGTGACGTAGTAATCTTGAGCGATATGATATCAGGGCTCATCTTTCAATCCAGAACGGCCGAAGAAAGGCTTCTGCCTTTTTTAAATGCTCTATTGTTATTCACAAAGTATCAATGTTCACAAACAGTGGGAGGGGCTTATGATGCACTCCGGTCCAATGAGGAGTGGCGTTGTAGGATGAAGGAGGGGCTTCTGGTCACATACTGTTTTTTTTAACAGAACTGAGAACATAAAGATCTACAAAGATGGTTAACGCCAAAGCAATCCATCGGAATGTTTTTTTGTGCATGAGAGAGAACGACGCCGGCTCCCTGACATCAGTGCAGAGGGACACACACAACAGCAGGGGACGAATGTCTATTTTAGCATGTGTGTGTGCACGAGTGGGGTTCACTTATAGTACAATGCGCATAAGACATCTCTCTAATGCACACTGATCCAGCGATGGATTAAACACGGAGGGTTTGTGCATACGGAGAAACTGGCTGCCAGCTAACTGGGTCGAAGTTGAAAAGTCAGAGTGGAAGGGTCAGACAAGGTCAAGCTCAGTTCATTTAGACTCTTGTATTCCCATAGTTCATAAGCACTGTACCGCCGGATATACAGAGAGACAGAGAGGAAGGAGAGGTCGAGGTGGTACTGGCTCCAGCCACAGGTGTTTTCGGATGAGTTGAGGTCCAGACTGTGGTCAGACCTGCCTTCTGAACACTCTTTTAAAGAGAGAGGGATGAGGGATGACGGTTTAGACGAGCGTTCCCGGCTTTGCCTTCTCGTGCCCGTACCACTGTACGTCCACTATCTCAGAGCACAGGGGACTGCTCAGGAAACAACTATCGGAGAATGGCGATCTGCAGATGAGAAGTAGAGGAAAGTGTCAGACATTCTGACATTTCATAGGTATATTTAACAGGCTGTACATTAAATATTACATTTAATATTTTACATCTCCTTTTAAACATTTAATAGATTCATTAAAAAATTACATACACTAGGTCAACATTTGACATTCAGGCAGAGGTGGGTTAGTGAGACACACACAGAGAGAGAGAGAGAGAGAGAGAGGTTAGCATTTGTGGGTAGCCGTGATCAGTTAATGTAGAGTGAGTTGTGTAATTTTGACACTGGGGTAGTTCTGTTACACACTATTAAAGTGAACAACACAGACAAAGCATTGGTACAGTTAGGTGGATGTCTAAACCAAGAGAATGTGCTCCAAGTCCCAAACTTTGACCAACATCCTCAAATATGTCTGTTCTTTGAAGTGAATACCCACTGACAAACAAAGCTGTGCAATCTACAGGAAAACCAAGCCAATTGTGCAATTTTGGAAGAAACCAAGAACAGCACAATGAAAATATGAAGTATATATAAACATTCATGGTCAAAGTTTAGTGCAAGGAAAACCATATCAGCCTAGCCTAAAAGCATACTCATCATCTAGAGTGATGCAAATCACTGACAAATATTGCAAGTGATTTTTTTTCACACAAATCTATTGACATTGAATAAAATGCAAACTTAATTATGAGAGAAAAAAATCTAACAACTAATTTAAAATGATTTGTCCTTCGGATTAGGATGAAAAAAAGTGTCACTCATTTTTTTTTGTATTATTACATGATTTTGTTTGGTAAGTCCATCTAAGAAACTACAGAGATGCAGTACTTTATCTAACAAGCCACTGGAATACTAGATACTATGTTGTGCTACTGTGAACTAACTACTGATTAGACATAATTAGCTCCTTCTAGACCATCTACATTTCAAGAAAATAATATTGGACTACAAGGCATTAGACCAGACCACCCTGACAGCCTCTATATACACACACACACACACCTCACAGCAATGTACTTAAGTTGACACATAAAATAGGTCTCATTCCACCACTCTTTCTGTCTCTGTCATACACACTAAATCACTGCAGTAGAAAGAATTTATACACAGTAAAGTGAAATGTACAGACCTTACCTAAAGGACACAGTATATGTGAATGAAATGTGAATGTGAAAATGAGGTTGTGAGGGTGAGAAACACAGTTTGCACCATATTTTACCCTAGTGTACCTGGGTGTTGATTATTCATAAATCATGGGTTGTGAAAATAAGACAAGACAGTATAACATGTTAAATTAACTTTTTTTCCACAGCCTCAAATTCATCTATCTATCTATCTATCTATCTATCTATCTGACAAAAAAATTAGCCACAATCAGGAACCATGTTTGCATCTAATTTATGATGTTAACTCTGACCGAAGTCTTGCAGGTATCCATATCTTGTTGCATCATTTATATTTGATCTGCTTACCTGGTGACCCCTTCACTAGTGTCCCTATTCGTCCTCCACGGCCATCTGAAGCATTGGAGTTGGTGTGAGTGACGCGGCTGTGCTCCTTTATCGATCCAGATGAGCGCTGGTACCAGCACCGCAGCTCCTCTGACACCGCTGCCCGCCCCCCTCCTCCTCCTCCTTCCCTGCCCAGAGACGGAGTCCTCACAATCTGTGAGCGGGAGGGCGTCAACCTCCCGCTGCCACCACCCGCTTCCCCATCCTCCCCGGAGCCCCACCCCTCCTTATAAAGCCCCCCGGCTGTGTATGAGTTGGAGGTCTTGAACTGTGCCTTGACACTGTAGTGCCCCTCCTGGTCGTTCTCCAGGCTGCGGACAACCACGGCGCTGGGGCTGCTGCCCTCCGTGTACAGCGGGTACTCTTTGATGCGATACTGCGAGGAGGGTTGGCTCTGGCTGTGGAGGTACACACCCTGGTGGCTACCGCACACACCTCCGTGGGTGCTCCCATTGCGGGCCGCCAGGTTGGGCATGCTGCCAGAGCTGGACGTGCCCAGGTGTCCGGCAGACTTGTGACGTTGACGCTGCCGCTGTCGGGCTTTGGAAGGCGAGTCTTCAGCCAGCGTACAGTAGTTAGGGTTGGAGGTGGATGAGGGGTAGTAATGTTCTGAACTGGAGTGGCTGGTGCAAGATGAGCAGTCGTCGGGGACAACAGAGCCATTGCTTCCTGTCCTCTGTGGTCCTGACAGAAACAGGTCAGGGCTAAGTCCCGCCTCTGTGTCCACCTCCAAGGATAGCAGCTTCCCCTGAGACTCCAAACTGGAACTCCGGCCACGGAATGGCTGAGTTAAACTGAGAAAGAATCGAAAACTGAATTTTAGTGGATTATTCAAACATTTTTAATATTTAAATATTATATTTTTTAAAATATTTTTAATACTTTTATTCAGCAAAGATGCATTACAATGACTGATAATAACTAAGCAGCAAATCAGCATATTAGAATGATTTCTGAAGGATCATGCGATACTGAAGACTGGAGTAATGGCTATTAAAAATTCAGCTTTGCCATCACAGGAATAAATCACATTTTAAAATATAAAAAACAGAAAACAATTATTTTAAATTGTAATAATATTTCACAATTTTACTGTTTTTACTATATTTTTGTTCAAATAAATGCAGCATTGGTGAGCATAAGTGATTTCTTTCAAAAATATTTAAAAAATCTTAAAAAAAAACCCAAAACTTTGGACTTGTAGTGTATTTTGAAGAAAGATTACAAACACAAACATAATTTTTCTTTGGAATGAATGAGTTTTTTGATAGTAAATAGGGTCGATTTTGAATTTATGTTTGGTTTTCATTTTATTTTAAATGTATGTAGTTGTAAATAAAAATAAATGAATAAATAAATAAATTATATTATATACATATTAATTATATTATTACATAAAATATGAATGAGTTGAAATATAAATCATTCATATAAAAAAGAATGAATTTATTTAGCCTAACAATACAATTATGTAAATAGTATGTTGAAAACAGGATATATACAGGAATCATGGAGTTAAATTTGATACTTTTAAGACCTTTTTTAAGACCCTTTCCATACATTTTAAGACCTCATCGCCACTCCAAGTTTTAACCGGTTACATTGGCGACACTTTAACTTACATTTACTATATATTGATTGTAAGATAGCACAACTAAACAGTCTAACTTTGTGATAACTCCTTATCAATACAACATAATTCAGAAGGGGGG